TTTTGCATAATTATTTAAAATCAACTTTCCTCATTTCAAATCAGTTTTCCTCATTTTCTGTAATGCTCTTATTTAAATAAAATCGATTATTACAATATCTAGCTGCAAACATATAGATAAAAATATAAATTATTATACATATATTATTATTATATATATATATATATTAACACGGTATTATCACATAACATCTCTTTTTCTTTAGAATCACATAATTTCTCTTTTTCTATAAACTTATGTTAAAACAGACGTGAAGTCATATATGCATTTATTTATCACTATAGCATCATTAGCGTCATATACTTCTGCGTTTATATATATAATTAGCAAAATTCTATCATCAATGTATCATCAGACTATCTCGACAGAATGCAAGTTTAATGTAAATGCGAGGCTGGTCAATATGTATTCTAATTGAATTTCTGCTGTCAAACTGCTGACAGGACTGCTAACATTTTACTTACTAGGAGACTAGCGATGAATGAAAGGAAGAGACTCGGCCTGCGAGATGCAGGCAACTGGTCCACAGGCACAAGATGAAATCACGACGAGTTCTTACGGATTATGCGAGCCTGTTCAATAGATGCTAAAGATCATCTCGAGGAACAGTTCGGTCTCATAGCATCTCGATCATCTCTCTCCCTGCACGTCATTCAATATTGGACACACGATTCGTACAATGAGATATATCTGTACCAATATGAGATAAAGGTCAAAATTATCCGATAGATATTATAAGTGTCTGAAAATGTTGCAATCTTCGATAAAAATTCCTTTTTAGGAAACTTAATATGCATAAATATTTATATAATATATATTTGCATATAAATATTATTACTGCATAATAATTAAATGTTAGATAACTTATATATGAATAGACATCACTATATATAATTGACCGACGTTTCACGGAATATATATGTACCTTATTATCGAAGATATTGTTAGATTCATTATCAAATTGTTCGTTTATTTATGTGAGATTTTTACTTAAAAAATGCAGTCTCGCAAATATAATAATTTCATCCTCACAATGACATATATATAGTATAGCATCAAGCTTTGGTCTAACAATAAGTAAATTTATACCAATATGAGATAACAAAAGGCAAAATTATTCGAAAGATAAGGCATTAAATGCCTGAAGATGTTGCAATCTTCGATAATATAATTTATCTTTAGAAATTCACTATGCATAAATATTTATATATAATATATATTCGCATATATAAATATTATTATTACTGCCTAATAATTAAATATTAGATATTCACGAATAAATGTAGGTATCGCTATAACTGACGAATTCAGTGATATGATCAGAGTTTCACAGAATATAATACCTTATTATCGAGGAGTATTAGATTCATTATCAAAGTACTCGTTTATTTATATGAGATTTTTATTTAAAACATTTTGACAAATGTGACAATTATTTCACCCTCACGACATATACATATAACGTCGAGCGTTGGCTAAGTAAATCGATACGAAAATACACATATTCGCGGCGAATATGTGTTCGAGATATATAAACCCCGGCCATTGCGCCGGCTGTGGAACCCTTTCAACTCTTCGTCGTGCTGCCAGCCGGATCGGCTAGAAGCACGAAAGTGAGTGGTGAACAAATGGTAGATCGACAGCGGCAACGTGGTACCAACTAAGAAGGCGAATCGCTTCGGCCTCGTCAGGTTCACCCTCCGTAATACCTGGCGAAAAACTTGCCTCCTCGCCATGCGCTTTCGCGACATTGACTCGTTGCATATCTCTCTCTCTCTCTCTCCGGGTTTCCTTCCTTGAAGCCGGCTTCCCCTCTATTCGAGAGTAACCGGAGCTTCATGATAGCCTGGTGCCTTCGGGACAGTAAAGCGAGTGGCGAACCAATAGTCGCGAGCAAAGGCGAGACAAGAGAAGCATTCACGAAATTAAATGTGAAGCAGCAAAGGATAAATCCGGCGCGTGATACGGAATTATTATTTTAATAGTGTTTATATTTTTAGATACTTTGGTCACAGAGAACGGATTAGATTGTGTGATAACTTCATAAATGTTTGTCATAAATATACTCGTATATTTTTATCGTGTAATAATTGTGATCTAAGATACATGAATATAATGCAAAATAATCTTATACCTATTATTCTCTTTCTTTTGATTAGAAATTGATATGCAACATATTGGTTAAAAACATATGCATTTTATTACTTATATTATTCTTATACAATTATTGTAAGTTTATCACATTTATATGACGGAGAAAAAAGAGAGAAACAATTACTTTATAATTTATTAGCAACAAAGATTTGGAAAATATTTATTATTAACTGCTCAGCATTGCCATATTTGTGATTTATTATTTTCACGCAGCTTATTGAAATAAGAATATTATAGAATAAAATGATACATGAAGAGAGTCAATGGGATGACCACTGATATTTATCAAGTTGACATAATTATAGATGCGTAACAAGCAAATTGTGAAATGCTCGGAATAACTCAATATCTGAACCAATATTATTCAATAATCTATGAAAAAGAATAATTATCTTCTATTATTTCTATGGTTGTTATAAATAGGATAGAAACATATTGAGTTGAAGCATTTGCCTTTTTTTTCGTCTGATGAGAAAAGAAACAATACGATATTTTATTGTAAGTTGACATCCTTCGTCTTCTCATGTGGCTATAAATTTATTGTAAAAAAAAAATGTAACGTTGAAAATTATTTGATCAACGACTTGTGTTCTACATACTATTTCGTTGCACGTATACAACACAATGGAATTTCTTTTCTCCGAATGGCATGTCTTCCTCTCAACTAGACCAAGTTAAGAGGCTAAGGAGATATTCGTAAATATCAAATTAAGTAACAAGAGGAATGAGCAATGTAACCTTTACAGCATGCGGGAAAATTATAGAGAAAATTACCAAGCTGAAAATTGTAAGGTTACATTGGAGTAAAACTTTCCTACTGCACGCTCCTACTTCCCTAGTAATATATTTAATATTACTTGATGTTTACGTTAAATTATTAAATTAAACAATACGCTGACCTAGTTACGGTCGCATTAATGATAAAATACGCGAAAGTATACATGATCTCTCGCTCGAATTATATTCGATCTATTCTTCGCATTCATTTAGAAAATTGATTTCTTATCCCGAATACGATGATACACGGATGTATCTCTTCGCGGAAGGATAAATTCGATGAAAAACAAAGAAAGCGAGAAAAAATAAACTAGAGCGAATTTGATTGATTTGGCATATATATATATATATATATATATATATATATAAATATATATATAAATATAACTTGTGTTACTTGTAAGACGACGGTGAAGGTTCAATACACATGTAACGATCAAAACGTGCGTTTCGGGACGATTAAACTCCAAGTTCGATATGCTTTCCTGGTACGCAAGCACCACTTAGCACACCCTCTGGATTCCCATAGGACGTAGACTATATGTAACGGAAATCAAGCTAGTTCCGGTCGACTAAATTAATTCGCACGAGTAGCGTTGCACCGTTCATTGTCCATTGTATGAAAAGGATCACAGATCTATAGAGGAACTTATGTACCATTGTTATGTCACTTGAATGAAATATTCTAATTTGCCAGATAAGTTTATAATGATATTTTAGCTCGTACATTTTTCCGAATCAATTAATTTGATTGCTCTTCGAAGTTTGAACTTTTATTATATATAGATAATCTTTGATAAGATATTTATTAGACAGCAATATATATCGTTCTGTTTTTAATTTGTATCCATTAACTATTTATTTTGCTTGTATTTCTTATATACTATTATGTGTGCATTATACATATTAACTATAAATATATTTTATATTTAATATACGTATTTAAATTAATATACATATATATAATATATAATTTATATGTAGTGCAGTTTTGTTCGAATGATATACTACAAAGAGCATATTGAATCATTATATTGATATTATTCATGATTTGATCATCGTTAAACAGTTACGATTTATTTCTCTATAAAAAAATATTAAATTTATATTTTCTTTTAGGATAATTTTACACATACAGATGTATACATATATACTTGAATACACATACTTAAAATATAACTTAATCTTTCAACGGATTCACAAAATTATAAAATGCTTGAATGAAAAAATATATTAAAATTATTTATTTTCGACAATTTATTTATATGTAGACAAAATTTTTAATAATTATTTTTTCAACGTCAAATCTAATTTGTTGTATATTGTCGCGTATGCTTAGCAAAATATTTCCGGATTATTCAAAAATTATTTCTCATTATTTTTTGATAGATTAAAAATTTTTAAGATCTATTTTTCAACAAATTTATTAACTAAATATAATTTATAATTTTTAATTATGTTATAATTTATTCGTACAATTATCTTGGTATTTATGTGAAGCATGCAGTTATATTTCGCACAATTAAATTTGAGACAAAAAATAAATTGATTTATTTATAATTTATATAGTCAACTCCAAATCAATACTTATTAGAAATACTCTTTTGACAAGGGGGCGTAGCTCAGATGGTAGAGCGCTCGCTTAGCATGCGAGAGGTACCGGGATCGATACCCGGCGCCTCCAACCCTATTTTTTGAATAAAATTTAAGCATTATATTTTACTATTTTGTACTCTACAGATGCTACAGACAATGTTACACCTATGTAATATATTTATTTTATCTTTTTTTAAACTTATTATTTTTCTATAGCCAAAATATTACATGTTCCTTCATAGTTTTTTGCTATTTATTTTCTATTTTATATAAATATCAATTCCAAATAAAGTTTATTCACTAAAAAGAATGATTTTTGAGACTTGGTTAACAATTAACTCAAAATCGAATTCAATCATGTCCATTTTTCTACATATCGTCAAAGCACCTTGTAATTGAAATGTATATATATATTAATATATTTCTCTCGTGCTATTTTTTGTCAAAAAAGTAAGAAGATTTGTCTGACGCAGAATTAACGAGAGCCGATACCAGCGATTTGTCAAAGCCAGAATACAACTATAATGGCGCCAAAAGATTGTATTGCCCCTTGAATGCTTATATCGAAAATCAACCGGTTAATCGATATGACAGTTCTCTCCGATTGAGACAACTGAGATCCGAGATGGTTCGTGTAACCGCAGTTCAAGGGCCAGCACTTGATGGCTACATCGTTACTTCGGATGACGAGCATCAAGTGAGTTCTATCCTGCCATCAACGTAATTAAATTAACTAATTATACTTTATTCATTTAGCGATCTGTTTGTACATATCTTAGAAATTGACGTCTACATTCACAGAAAAAACAGTATCCTTGAAAGAATGCAAATATGCCTTGATTCAAGTATATTTTATCCTTCCCAGCAAACACCGATATATAATTGTTACATTGCTATAATAAAACGGAATATAACAGGTAATATAACGTGTACGTTACATGTAACATCCATGTTAGTTGTAATTTCCCACTTATAGATGTAACATTTTAATATAACATATATTACATTGTAGTTATATTGTAATTATATACCAAATAGCACATTGATGTATTGATAAGTCAGTGCTATCTTGGGATATAATGACAATATAACTACAATGTAATATATGTAATATTAAAAATGTTACATTTATGAGTGGGAAATTACAACTAACATATACGTTACATGTAACATGCTTGAGTATATAACATTTATATACTGTGTTTACTGGGTTATAATAGCGCCAAATATAAATAATTTTGGATGAAGGATAATTTATCCTTAAAACAAAGTGGCAAAATATTCTTGGTTGAAGCTGAAATTTACTTATAAGTATTGCAAGGACAAGTGACAAGTAAGCATCGGATATAAGCGGTACTTTCAAGTATTTGTTTTCAGCATATAACGATTTTTAAAACAAGAATATATCTTAAGGATAAAATATACTTCCCACAAACTTATTTATTATTAAGGCAAATGAACATTTGTGATTACAAAGAGCATTATATGCTTAAATCAATCAAATAGCGTTCAAGAATAAAAATATACTTGAATCAGGGATTCCTTTTTTTTTGTGTAGAATTAATTATATTAATTAATTAATATCTCAATTAGTTATAGAGAAGCATATAGAGTGCGAGATAGCAATTATCACGATCGATTATTTTTACTGCTATTTATAAGAATAGAAAAATCGATTATAATGACTGCTAGAGATTTATTTAAATTCATTAATTTAATATTGTTTATTATAACATTGCATTTGATAAATTATAAACTGTTTGTATCGCAAATCGATGCACATTAATAATAGTAATACACATATATTTATAGACTAGATTAAATCGGCTCATTAGTAATAACATCAATATATGAATATGCATTGACAATTAATGTACATATAATATATATGCTAAAATGTCTTTTCTCTTATTGTGTTTAAATTTCAGACAGTGAGTTTCGTTTCTCACGGCCGTGAAGGCCCTTTAGAGGTATATTTGCATGTACAATATTTGATGGTTTCTTTTAGTATTAAAAGTAATACTTTGCATAACTACAGCTTTGACTGATATTAACTCTGTATTTGTTTAAAAAATTGTATGGTTTTGATGCAGTGTTTAGTTTTTTAAATCCGTATTTTCCAACGAGAAAGATTTCAGTAATTTTAAAGTTTAACAGTGATTTTTTTAAGTCACGATATAAAAAAACAACAAGTATATGACAACAATATTGTTCTAAATATTGAAAAATAAAATTATAAAGATTTAAAATATCTCTATCGCTCAAAAGTTAAAAACACCCAATAATTTTTAAGAATTAATTTTATTTTTAAGAAAAATTTTAAGAAAAATTTTTTTTTGAAATAAAATTAATATTATAAAATACTCTAAATTTTTTAGTGATAATATAATATGTATATTTGTATTTATATACCAATAACGTATACTTAAATTTTAATTTTTATTGATGACAAAACGATTAAAGGACATCGATTTAAACTGAAATATTGATTTTGACATATTTTAATGCTTATTGATTAGAATTTTTTTCAAAATACTATTTACAATTAATATTAATGATTTCCTGTTTATTCATATATATCTTTATAGTTTATATTAATACCTTTTTAATTTTTTTATACAGAGTGAAGTCGTGGATCCGCATGATATGAGAAAAGAGTTTCTTACTGGATTTTATGGAAGTGCTGGAGATGCTATTGTCACTCTAAACAAGGCAATACTTTGGACTGATGGCCGATATCATATTCAAGCCGACCATCAGCTGGACTGTAACTGGAGTTTAATGAAACAAGGTGAAAATGAGGTGAGTAAATTAATTCAAGTTAAAAAAAAAAAAATATATATATATATATATATATATATATATATATATATATTGTATACATATAATATGAGAATATATTGTTTTCTTTTTTCCTTCTTTTCCTTTTCTCCTTTCAAAACATTCAAGAGCTTTAAAACATTAAAAATACTTTTCCATTAATTTCAGGTACCAACAGTAACAGATTGGTTAATACACGAGTTTCAAAATCAGTCGGAAATACGTATCGGTGCTAATCCGAAATTAATATCTGCATTTATGTGGGAAATATGGGAAAACGAATTAGGTAAGGATCTCTTAGATAAGCCTTTTTGCTGAATTGATTTTTTTTCGTACAACTAACGCGATCCTATACATGTTCAGTGAATTCATCCATAAGATTGGTCGCAGTCCATAACGACCTGGTGGATTTGATCTGGCAGGTGGACCGGCCCGAATATAATCCGCATGCGGCGTACCCGTTGACAGACGAATACTCCGGTAAACCATGGCAAGAGAAAATTCAGAGTGTCCGGCTGGAGATGGAATTATCATCAGCCGACGCATTTGTCGTCACCGCTTTGGATGAGATAGCATGGCTCTTCAACATTCGTGGCTACGATTTACCGCACACACCTGTCTTAAGAGCCTACGCGATTATCACTCAAGAATCTCTGCATTTATATGCGCCGCGACATAAGATCCTACGGTCCGTCGACATACATCTGAAAACCGACTCCTGCTTTCACGCAAATTGCGTCAAGTAAGTGTGTGAAAGATGAAGATACTAATATATATATATATATATATATATATATATATATATATATATCATTGGAGTGATATAAACTCCAAAAGGATAGATAATGACACAAATTAAGATCGATGATTAACTAGTATAACTTTATGTTTTTAATTTTTTTTTAATTTAATTTTTAAGAAAATTAAAAAAACTTGTATTTTTTCTTGTCTTGCAATAATATTGCAAAATCAAAGTTTTATAACTTCAAATCTTATAAATTGATAATAGTCCCTTATTAATAAAAGCAAATTCATAATAATGATCGAGTATTATCGTTATAGATGGCACAATTACACAGACATTTGGTATGATTTGAAGACCATGTCTCAAGCCTGGAATACAGTGTGGCTTCCATCGCCTTATGGCTATACATTGGGTGCGTCCAAAGAAATATATAATTCTGTAAGTGTAATAAAGACAATAGGTTTATTTTGAATATTAAAATAAGAACGCAATCAAATTTCAAATCAGTAATTTCAAATATATACTTAATATGTATAAAAATACATAGAATTTTTTTGCAGATTCCACCAGAAAAAAGATTGGCTAAGCCTTCACCTGTAATCGATTTACGAGCAGAAAAAAACAAAGTTGAAGTGGCAGGTATGAGAAGATCTCACCTAAGGGATGCCGTAGCTATGTGCGATTTTCTAGCTTATATGGAAGAACAATATGAATTGGATTCCGAAGGATGGGACGAAATGCAAGTGGCGAGAGTGGTTAATGAATTCCGTTACGAACAAAATAACAACAAGGGCATCTCTTTCCCGACAATCGTGGGATATGGTTCGCATGCCGCTTTACCGCATTATGAACCAATTAATTTGACCAATACTAAAATCGGAACCACATCCACGTTAGTAATTGATTCCGGAGGACAATACTTGGGTACGAAATTCCAAGTTTTTTTTATTCTGCTTTGTTAGAAGTAACTTTTGTTAATTTGATCGAGATAGGCTCAAAGAATCATAAGACATGATGTGTGTAAAAAGCATGAAATAAAATTATGTGGCAGATGGTACCACTGATGTGACAAGAACTCTACATTTCGGAGTGCCGACCGATGAGCAAAAAAAAGCTTATACCAGAGTATTAATCGGATCGATCGAATTATCGTCTTTGATCTTTCCCAATGATGTGACAACAAATCATTTGGATGTTATTGCACGGAGACCTTTGTGGAGTATCGGTTACAATTACATGCATGGAACTAGTCACGGAATCGGTCATTTCTCTTCAGTTCACGAATGTTCGTATAATCAAGTTTCTATAAAATAATTGCTTCACAAAAATATTAAATATGATTGATGAAAGCCATTCTAATGGAACAATACACATTATAGCGCCTATTTATATACAATATGGATGCGGGAACTCAGCATGTGCTCTTAAATTGAAGCCAGGATTCTTCCTATCAAATGAACCAGGATATTACAAAGAAGGCGATTTTGGAATTCGTTTGGAAAATATACTTGAAGTTATTCCAGCTAGCAAATTGGTACATTTTAATATATTCTTACTTGTGTTATATCCTGTATACTATTTATATATAGCAACAACTTTATCAATATATTTCATACATTTAATAATATAATTGTGAATTATTAGTTGCTAAGTTATAATTGTCGATTGTGTTTTAGACTCATAATGGGAAAAAATTCCTCAAATTTAAAGACATTACTTTGGTTCCTTATGAATCAAAACTTATTGACTTCAGTATGCTTACTCCATTGCATGTAGGTCTTAAATGCATTAGTCTAATTGTAAAACTACTGAGTTTATACATTATTATAAGAAACATAAAAAGTAACAAATGTTATATTAACACGTCTGTGTTATACACAGCGACGTTGGCTAAATAATTACAATAAACGTATACGGGAAGAAGTAGGTGCAGAATTGAAAAAAAAATTAAAAATGAAAGCATTTTACTGGATGATGATGAAGACTATGACCATTCCCGAAACAAGTTTAGATAACCAGGATTTTTTTCCTGATTATTCTCACTCGATGTCGTCTACTATTAGACAATTCCACATCTTGGTTGTGATTGTTGCAGTTTATCATACCATAGCAAGTAAACAATATTCAAATAACATATTTTTATGATTTTTATCGATATAAAAATAATATATAAATTTTTATTGCAGATTGCATAAGAATGTGTAATTAATCTGGAAAACATTTACTTTCCGAATATTTTAACATGCGTACGCGTTGTGAAATTTTTTTACTATAAATATACATCATTTCTTAAGTGTTGATATATTGGATATTGTATAATTGTATTTAAGAAAAATTCGCATATATATAAATAATCTTTAATAAATTATTTTTCTATATACAATGTTTATATTACTCTTTTTTTTTTAGAAGTTCCTTCCTCTTTTTTTCCTCTACTGCTTGGTCGATCATATCTTGTATTGGATCTTCCAATTTATCGTTACTCATGTCTGCCGTCGCAGTTTTATAAAGTTTAAAATGTTTCAATATATCATCTAAAAAGATTCAAAGATAGAAATTTTATATTAATAAGTATTAATAAGTATTAATAAGTATTAATAAGTATTAAATTTTCCTAAAAAAATTAATGCTACATACCTACTATTTTCTTATCAATTTTATATCCAGCAGCTATGTGTTCACTGTTATATGTTACAGGATCATGTTGATGATCCCAAATAAATTGCATAGCCTGCTTCATAGAGCACTTTCCTACAGGAATCATTGTAGGTTCATAAAAATCAAATATGAATTCATCTGGTGCATGTCTATTCTGAGGTAAAGATCTTGATTCTTTCGTTGGTTCAATTACTTTCTAAATAAGAAATTGCAAAACTTTATATTTTTACTTGATAAATTATTTCCATGTTTTTCTTTTAATGGATGATTCTCAACTATAGTCATGTTGAATTATGGTGTTAAAAATCATATGAGTTTTATTCTTGCAAAATGTATTGAAATAAACAAGCTTTTTTTAATTAAATCATTTTTGCTGGACTTTTGAATTGATTACAAGATGATCGACAAAATTTACAACTATTTATTAATTTATGAATCAGAGAATTTTGTATTTTACTAATTCACATTATTGAACACGAGAGTAATCTCATTCAAAAACATTTCAATGTATTTTATAAGAATAAAACCCATATTTTTCACTTCTGACATTACAATTCAATATGCAGTGACACAAAAACCTTCATAATAAAGAAAAACTTATCAATAAAGTTTAAATATTTGTTTATAAAAGTTGAAGTAAAAATCACTTTGATATATTTGGACATAGAACTTATTTCAAATAAATATACCTAATATATCAAGATTAAATATTAAAATCCAAGAATACAAATTTAAAATATAGCACTCACTTCTGGATCTGTCGATGTTACAAAAACGTCTTTCAAACGTTGATCCAATTGCATATTTTTTTGATAATGTTCTTTCAGGAAATTTGGATTTACTAAAAGAAAAAAAAACAAAAGAATTACATAACAAACCTGGAAGAGAATATCAAAGTTGTGCGATTTGTAAATCGTAATTTTCAATTACGATATGTCATGAATATTGCAACAACGAACATTTACCTTTGTCTGCGAATTTTTTTTGTTTTTCCGCATATGCATATTGAGGTGCGGGTACAGGCTTCTCTCGAGATATGATTCTTTCAGCACGATTTGCGATATTGAACGTGCGAATAGGTCGTGTTAACAAAGAGTAAACTTTTCCCATTGTCGAAGCAGTATATCTAAATGAAGAAATAAATTATTCGATATCATACAAAGTGTATAAATACCAAAGACGATGAATCATAAATTATAATTTCATAACATAAAGTTATCATAAATCTTAAACGTGACGTACAAGCTATAAATCAAAAAATTCGAAGCACATAGTTAATAATGCTTGGTAATAATGCTCAAAAGTTTGAAACACAACGTGCAATATTAAAATTATGTTCTTAATATCTTATGTAGGTTAGAAATGTAATACATGTCTGAGAATCTCGCCGAAGAGAAAAAAAATTGAGCCTGGTTCGGTGTGTTCAATAATCCGACATTAGGATACTTTCGTCGTTTGGATAATTTTAATGACAAAATTAGCGGACCAATCGGACGAAGAGGCGGGAACGGTTCCTCCGTTCTGATTGGTCGAACGCTCCGAGCCATCTGTCATCGCTCTCTCGAAAATCACGTGTTTCACGAACACACGGAAGGAAACGAACGATGGGTTTCGGAATGTCAGTTAACGGTGAATCGGTGTGTTGATGATGTTGTGTGATCGCGCGTAATCGTGGTGGAGCGGAGTCGGAGGATACGTATCGCGGTGATAAGCTACCGTATGCGCTGAACATTTTGTGAAAACGTCGCAGTCGCGATTGCTCCTGCTGCAGAATATGCCGCTGCATCGCGCGGCCTAACGACCGGACGATCCTCCCGGCGACTCGCCGCATCGCATCGTAACGAAAACTGGTATCGGAAATTTGACGTTGTCTCGTAACCGCCAAAACTGTAGACGGAAACGCCATCTTGAGCATTGATGTTGATATTTTCATGAATTGGGCAACAATCACTGTTATCTTCCAGTATTTATATTTTTATGTGTCAAAATTATATGTCAATTGATGCCCAACACATGAAACTGATGTTAAATTTCTTGCCTCGTTATCTCATGTCAAATGTAACGTTAGATCGTCAATAGGAAATATCTATTTTACTCATGTGTTTGTCGTTCAAGCTTAGGTAGAATAATATTTATTGAACACATATATACATATGTATTTGTCTATCTAATCTTTTTTTAAATAATGTTTTTCTTATTTTATATTGAAATTAAAAATGTAATTTTATTCGTTTGTCAATGTAATGTAATCCAATCTTTATTGATGCAGTTTTAGAGAAAGACAAGAATCATGTTTTACGCACATTTTGTGTTGGCCAAAAAAGGGCCTTTGGCTCGTATATGGCTGGCTGCTCATTGGGACAAGAAAATAACAAAAGCGCATGTATTTGAAACTAACATAGAAAAATCTGTGGATGGTATATTACAACCAAAAGTAAGTATTACTTTAGCATATCGCAAAATTTATCAAATATTAATGTATCACAATATTAATTCTTTCTTGAAATTTGTAACAGGTCAAAATGGCCTTGAGAACATCTGGTCATTTGTTATTGGGAGTAGTACGAATCTATTCTAGAAAAGCCAAATATTTATTGGCTGATTGTAATGAAGCTTTCGTAAAAATTAAAATGGCCTTTAGGCCTGGAATGGTAGATCTACCTGAAGAACATAGGGAGGCAGCTGTAACAGCTATCACTTTACCAGAAGTATTTCACGATTTTGATACTGCTATGCCTGAACTTAAGTAAGTTCAACTTTAATTACTCCAAAAAATGTAGAGTATTTTAATATATTTTACTAATTATCTTAAATCTTTTCTTTTCAGAGATGTTGATATTGAAGCTCAATTTAGTTTGAATCAATCTAGAGCAGAGGAAATAACAATGAGGGAAGATTATGGAAGTCTATCTTTGGTTACACACGATCAAGGTTTTGGTGACATGAGTTTTGATGCGGAACCTCCAGAATTACTGCGACATGGCAGTGGTATAGAACCCTCATTAGACCAGGTATCTAAATGTTTTGTATTCATACTTTTTATAATTATATATATATATATATATATATATATATATATATATATATATATATGTGTGAATTATTAGTTGATATATACATAATGAGCAAAATTAAATATACTTCATGAATATTTTTAAAAGTAATTATACTTTTACAATACAAACATTACAAATAATTAATTGATATATAAAAATTAGTTTTATTATTTAATAATTAAAATTACTTAATTTTCAACATTTGTATATTTTTTAAATTAAATGCTCTAGAAGTTAATTTCAATTTTATTTTATTAAATAATCAAAGAAACACTAATAAATCTTTATTAGATTCTCGAGACAACAATGTAACTTTAAGATATTAATTGTTTTAATATAATTTTAGAGTCACATGTTGTTTAGTGATGGCCCAGGAATAGAAACAACATTAGAACAAAAGGAAAAAGAACCAGTTGCAGGAACATCTGCTACGACACAACCTATGGACATAGATACACCTATCAGAGATGATGGTTTTGGTGGTCATCTTGGCCAAGATATCATATGTACGATAAAAAAAAAGTTACAATCATTCTTGTAACACTAAATACAACAGTAATTTACAATAATCATATTTTTTTAGCGGGAGGCCTTTTTGAAGGTGGCTTATTTGACGAAGCTCCAATGGGTGAAGTACCTGTACCTGAGGTTAGTTCGATAACCGAGCAACAGGAATCAGGTGCAGCTCCTGGAACTGCTGCATCTGTACATGATGAATCTGATGAAGATATGGGCGATCATTTTGGCGGTCCAGCGTCTCCAATGGGAGGCATGAGGTATTTATCCATCTTGATATATTTTAATAATAAGAACGTAGATATTTGAGAATCGCCAGACAGAATTTAAAAAAGGTAAGAATCTTCTCTCAACCGTACTGGCAAATATTATTTATTCAATCACAACGTTTCGACCCTTCTTTGAGTCCTTATCAAGTAATCTAGATATACATAGACAGAGATTAATACAATAAAAAACAAAATTACTTCACTAACAATATTACAAAATGATAAAAAGAAGCGAAACATACTTGTAAAAATAAAAATAAAATTATAATTTTAAGATGTCAAGAACGAACATATTTTGCATAGTGAAAAACACGTAAGAAAAAGAGAAATTACTGAAATGTTTTTCATTAAGAAAAATAATAACGCTATTAATTTACAAAAGGATACCGACAATCTAAGTAATATCTACGACAAAATAATAAAGGTCGTTTAGTCTCCAATAACTCGTCTAAGAGTCTTGACGTGTTGTCAAACCGACACTATTGAATAAATAATATTTGCCAGTACGGTCGACGGAAGATTCTTATCTTGATATATTTTACTATATAAAAATTGTAAATTTGACTTAAAAAAACACGTTATATGTAGCTCTGATGGCTCAAGACCGGCTACACCAGCCGCAGCTGGAGAAGAAGCTGACGGAAGAATAAGCGTCGCCAGTCGACGCTTTACACCAGCTCCACCAGTTATACCAGAGGAACATGCTGTTGATAACGTAGAAGAGCCGCCACCTTTACAAGACCAAACCACATTGTTACACGACGACGAAGAAAGCTTTGCGTTACCTCCGATTGATGCATCCATTCTAAAAGGTAAATTATCGTTATATTAACGTTGATTCGCATTTTATTGTAACTAACGAAAAAACATTTATTTCCTTAAAGGCTTCACGAAAACTAAGCGCAAGCGTAAACTCATTGTTGATGAAGTGAAAAATATCTCTGGTGAAGAGATGAAGGCACAGTTATCTGATACTAGTGATATTATCACGACATTGGACTTGGCTCCACCTACAAAAAGATTGATGCATTGGAAAGAAACTGGTGGTGTAGAAAAGCTATTTGCTCTACCAGGAAGTTCTATTCCAGCTCGTGTTCTATTTAAGGTAATAGAGATAATATGATTAAAATAATATGATTTTACATCAATACAATTGTTTGAATATTCAATAATATTTTATTTTTATGTTTTTATTAAAACAGAATTATCAGAGACACTTAACTAGCAAGTCTTATGATCATGAAGACTTTGGACGACTTGGAGCTGAGGAAGATGGTATGTCTCTGGAGCAAATGAGAGATGCTGCAGAAGAGCCGTCTTACGATCAAAGTATTCTCAATAAGCGTACAGGACGAAAACGGAAAGCGCAGCAGGATGATGAAGTTAGTAGTTATATATACATAGTTATATATATAAACTATAAACACTTTTAAAATAAAAATAGAATAAATGTGATGCAGAATTTTTATGAATTGTTATAATTTATAATTAATGCAAATTATTGTTATGTTTAGATAAAACAACCTCCTCAACCACCTCAACCAACGCCAGCAGATATCAGTCAACCATCGGCGAACGGTGTTGAGGCAGTAGAAATTCCGAGCATAATTGGACAACATAATCTTCCTTCGGAATCAAATATATCGTCTGAAGTACCTCTACCGGCAGAACCATCAGTTTCCGATATAAGTAGCATCGTGCCTTCTAGGGAACCATCGGTGGTACCACCGACTGAAGCATTATTGCTCAGTTCGGAAACACCAGCTGAAGTCGACAAAGTACTCGATACACACGAAGAAGCGCAAGCATCAGCACAAGAGGAAGCCGGTGCCATACAAACATCCGCTATGCCGCAGATGGAAAATATGGGTTACGATCAAGTGAGTTGAAACACTCATCATATATTTAAAATGTGTTGAAAATATTATACAACTTAAGAGTGTTAAATATGTTTTGTTTTTTTTTATCATTGCATCACATTTTCGAACAATGTTCTATATCCACTGATTTTTCTTTCGTTAAAATATTTATATTGTATAATAGGCACAACCGCAAGTTTCGTACATGGGTTATGATGAACATCACCCACCAGCACATACGCCTGGTGCGATTTCAGAAAGAGGACCTGCCACACCATGGAATCATGAAGATTACGAGTTTCCGCCATCTGTTGGACCTGTAATTATTATTTTATGCTCAAAAAATTATTTTTACATAATGCATTATATTATTACAATATTACAGGAAAAAATATTTATGAAAAACATTAATTACTTATAAAATGCTTCGTTTTTTAGCAAGAGGAACAACAAATGGATGAAACTTACGAACAGTTTGAAGAGCGTGTTCTTAACAAAAGAGCAGCGCATATGTATCACGTTATTAAGAGCAAACTAGATACCAAAGATAAATTAACATTATCGGATATGGCATTCAAAAATAATCGCAAACAGGTTGGTGCTTCGAAAAACGATTTATTATGTTTTATCTCTCTATGCGAAGTTTTTATATTAATAAAATATAATTATATATTTTTGTAGGTTGCACAGAAGTTTTACACACTATTAGTTTTGAAAAAGTTTCAAGTATTAGAACTCAATCAAGAATATTCGTATGCTGAGATTATAGTCACAAAAGGACCAAAATTCGAAAATCCTGCGTTGTAAAGGTATTTGCCCTCAATTAATATGAAACTTTAAATATCAACAGATGAAAAAATGTTGATATCTGTCGCACAGAAAATATCAAAAAATAACATTCACATTTTTCATAAATAAATCTTAAAACATTGAAGGAATTTGTTTTTGAACGCAGTATAATTAATAAAAAATAAAAAAATAGTTTACTATTTTGTTTTAGATGCCTGAATTTACAAAATTACATATTGAATGCCAATTATTTTATGATCACATTAATCATATTGCATTCCCTTTTTTTATATACATATTACATCAATCGCTTATTTTTTTATTTTTCCTTTTATTTTTTATTTAGATGGACTCTTCTTGTTAATCTTACTAATCTTTTTGTTCCTTCAACTCACGTTTTACATCATTCATCAATCTAAACAGGGTTAAATAAAATTAGTAAATAGTTAAAGAATATTTTACAACATCTATATGTACCACACATTATTAGTGACTTAAGTCTACATTACAAGAAGGTCCAAAATCATAGACATGCTATTGACATAGTTTACTAAATTTTGATATAATTAATTTTAATGGAAAATATTTAATATAATAGGATATATTTAGATATTAATGCAGTAAAATATTTCTAGATTGTTAATTTATAAGTTTCAAGAAAACACTAATTTTCGAAAGAATTTATTTATAGTGCTTATATATACAATTATTTGTAAACAGTTATTAATGGAAGAGTTTATTTAATTTGTGAATAATAATTTTATGTATTATTTTTATATTATCAGAAAAAATATTCTCTATTTATAACTCTGAAAAAGTATTATCTGAATACACAAAATATATACAATAGATACATAAAAAATATTAAATTTATAATTAAATATTTTCTTTTTATATCTCATTTACAAGTGATATATTAATTTCGTGAAAAATACTTTATTATAAAATATAACATTTTGGCAGTATCTACTTGAAGAATAAATGAAAATGATTATTAAATAGAAAAATAACGTAATTTAAACATAATGTTAAACTGCTATTTAGCATAGAAAGTAGTGAAGTACTATAGTATCAAAGAAAATTAAAGATTGCTTAATGATTTATTTCAATGTATCACAAATATTACAAAAACTTTTAACAAAAATGATTTATGAAATTTTCCAAGCAAGTTTGTATTATAAATATACATACTGCAATCAAGATAATATATCAATTATTAAAGTATGTGATCAAAGAATTATTTAATATCATTAAATTCTGCAAAAAATCATTAAGTGTCATGATGTAGCAAACATATTAGATAACATCTATTTAACTGCTCATCAAAATCTATAAAAAATATTTATATATATTGTTTATAAAATGATATTGAATTTTACAAACGTACATATCATATAATACTTAAAACTGTTATTCCATTATTTTCCATTAATAAACTGTTATATACATTACATATGTAATAATTTATATTAAGTTATACTAAAATATTCTTTCATGTATAACCATTTCTATCTTTTATATGATGTGGCAAACACTACAAAAATGACATCTTTAAGTCTAAAATATAAGTTTGCTTTAATATTATAATATTCATTCTTTTTTGTTATTACATAGTCATATTATTTCTTTATAAACAAGAAATAATCTTTAGATGACACATTAATATTAGTATAGAAATAAAAAATATTAATGTATTATAAACTATGATTATTATATGTTAACTATAATAATTCTATAAAAGTAAAAGTTTATTCATACAATACAATTAATAAGAAAATGAAGTTTAATAACCTCTTAATTTTTAATTTAAAAAATTTTTTAAATTTAATAAAGAATTTTTAAAATTCAATAATCACAAAATTTATCTGTATTCTATATTCTATATTAATGCAATCAAATAAGTACAGCATCACAGTATGAAAAAGCTTTATTTTTAAATTTTAAATAGCAGGTGTCTTATGCATACACAAAAATTGAAATATAAATATATATATACATATATATATATATATATATGTATATATATAATGTGTAACAGAAAAATGCACTTAATCTTCCAATTCACCGGCTGCCATAGCATCTTGATAAGATTTCGTTTTCGAACGTTCGGGATCTAATTTAATCATATCATCGATTCGAAGAATGGTTATAGCTGCTTCAGTGGCGAATTTTAAAGATTTAATTTTTGAAATGGCTGGTTCTAACACACCAGCTTTTTTGTTATCTCTTATACTTCCTACAAGTAGATCAAGACCCACCCTGCAAAAGCAGATATGTGTGAATTATTCATTTTAATTTACATAATAGTTATAAAAATTTGAAAAATCATAAAGTTGTTACCATTTCAGATCGACAAGATCCGGTTTCGTTATACTGGAATTATGATAGGCTCGAAGTTTGGCAACAAGATCAGTTGCATCTTGTGCAGCGTTTACGGCTAATGTTTTTGGTATGATTAATAAAGATCGTGCAAATTCCGCTATAGCCAATTGTTCTCGAGAACTCTGTAATTTACGAGAAATGTTGTAAATATCTTGATGCAAGAAAGAGATACTGATGCAGAAAATATGCAGATAATTCAATAATACCAATGATGTTGCAAAGTTTTCTAGATAAATGGACAGCGCAGCCTCCACACAACCTCCTCCCGCGACGACACTTTTGCTTTCCAAAACTCTCTTCACAACACATAATGCATCATGTATGGAACGTTCCATTTCATCGCAGTAATAATCATTTGGTCCACGTAAAATGATAGAACTCGCAGTACGTGCCTTGGGGCTTGAAGTTCAAAGAAAAGATTAATGTTTTTTCTTTCATTTTTTTTCCACATTTGTGTGATGCAAAGAGTTCTTGTTATAGAACATATATTTCAGCAGAAATATGATAGTAATCGTGTGTACTTGATATTAGAATGCTTCATAGAATTACATTTACTTATTAATATGTTAATTAGTTATAAAATATACCCTTTAATAAGAATAAGCTCGTCATCGCATATCATTTCTTGCACTACTTCTGCAGCTTCTCCCAAGAAACTAGCATCAAAACTCTCTTCTCCTTCCATATTGGTCAATGAAGTCAGAAAATGCGCACCTGTAGCTTTAGCAATTCTTTTCAGATCAGCTTTCTTACATCTACGCACTGCCATTGTTTTAGCTTCCACAAAATACTATAGAAAAAAAGTAATTGTAAATATTGTGCATATACTATCGAAAAATTATCTTAAATTTATGACTGTACCTTTAAGCATAGATCATCAATACCGCCAGACAAAAGAACAACGTTAGTTCCAGCAGCGAGAATCTTTTGAATACGTTCCTTAGTAATGTCAGCCTCACGTTGACGAACGGCTTCGAGTTTCTCGGGATCTGTAATAAGTATTTCAACACCCAACTTCATCTTTGCCTTCTGCAACGAGAAGTCTAGGCACGCGATCTTTGCGTTTGTTATCTTCTTCGGCATCGCTTGAGAAGCGACGGTGCAATTTAAAGCATATCCTTGAATCAAGACAGATTCCCGAACACTTTTTCCATGAGCCTTCAAGACATTCACTGCTTTAACAGGATACAGAGAGCCTCCCTTGCCATCGTTGATTTTTATCGCATTAGCGGCATCGACTACCATGTTACCGAAGAAGTTGGCATCACTAATTATAATCGTAGTTATAGAAATTATTTTAAATGATGATTATTGTTCACATAGTAAATATCAAAAACAGATTGTGTGCGGTGAAAAAAAAAAAAAGATCTCGAATAATATCAAAAGGATACGCTCCAATAATTTTGCTGGACATAGATGTTTTTGCAACATTGACTAAGCAATCTTTTCCGAGTTCATCCACACTAACAGTTAAATGTTCCTGAATGTATTTGCATGCTTCTCTGAAATTAATTTCATAATTAATTAGCTAAAATTTTTTTAATTAAAAATTTATTTAAATTATTAAATTTAATTACTTACAATATTGAGAACAAAACAAAATTTTGATTAATGCAATGAATCATTAAATTCTTACTTGCAGGCAAGCCTGTAACCACTAATGACAGAGGTTGGATGAATCTTTTGCTTCACAAGCTCGTCTGCATTTTTTAAAAGCTCAGCTGCTACTATTACCTAATTGATAAAAAATAAAATTATTGCATTAAATATTTTAATTATGAATTTTGTTGAATGTAAATATAAATATATTACTTACTACTGAAGTAGTACCATCTCCAACCTCCTCATCTTGTAACTGAGCTAGCTCAACTAACACTCGTGCAGCTGGATGTTCAACTTCTAACAAACGTAAGATTGTTGCACCATCATTGGTAACAGTGACATCCTGAAAATATTATATAATTATAACATAAATTGTGATATACATGTAATATCTTGTTGCAAATATTTGTCTGATATACTAAAAAAATTTAGAAAAGCTAAATAATATACATACACCAATATCATCAACCAGCATTTTATCCAAACCAACTGGGCCTAACGAACTTTTAACTATATTAGCAACAGCAGAGGCAGCCATAACTGAAAGAAATATAAATATAATATATTAATTTTACATATTTATATTGTTATTATATAGAAATTGTTATACATAACAGATTATAATTGCAATATAGCTCAAAAATTATATATTAAAATATATTTACTGTGTGTTCTTTAAATAGGATTAATTATTATAAAAGTATAAGCACAAAATATATATATATATATATATGTATACAAGATATTTTAGTATAATCTTTAGCTTGAATATTAAATTGATTTGCATTCTTAAGGTTTGCTATACATACAATCAAATAAAATTTAACAAATGTAATTAATTATGATAATTGGGAAAAATGTATAATATTAAACATTCTATATTCTATACTTACATTCTACATTTCACATTAAACAGTCATTTATTCTACAAATTATCAAGCATTCTGTTTACATGTAATTTTGCATTACACATAAAACATAATACTGATTAATATGTCATTTGTTTTTCAATTCTACATGAATTCAGATTTTTTAAATAAAATAGCAACCCACAAATATGGTATTTAGAATTTAAATTCAGATAGAAAGCAGGCTAATAAAAGCCAAGCGCAGAAATTAGATTGCAAGCTAACTTGTTTTAAAATTTGATTAATTTGAATGTTTTGATCTTTCCTATAGACTATATTCAGTAGACCGATTAGCAAAGATTCCTGTGTCTTGATCCATGCTCCGTCTTTGACAAATTTTCAAAGATAATACATGTACAATTAGTACTGCTTTGTCAGGAAGTTCCTTGCTCTTTATCCTTATTTAAGATCATTTTGAGGACTCGAGAGGAGGATCAAGACAAGGATTTTTTGCTGATCAGCTACAGAAGGATCCAAAGGAAGGTCTGAAATGTTCAAATTGAATAAAGAAGAAATTAAAAAATAGGTTTGCGTTTAATTTCTGCTCTTATTAGCCTATTTCTGAATTTATATTTGTACAATAGATCCTTTTCGTTTTGAGCTATAAAATTTATTTCGAAGTTTCGAGACGCGATATAACCAAACTTTACGGATTGTCAGCGCATCCTTACCATTTTGTGTTCGCACCGGAGCCCCCGATTGTCGGACGCCTCCAACTGCTAAAGGACTCGCTACCGTCGACATTGCACAGAATTCCTTGACTTATTCTGACACGAGCGAGACGATCTTGCGATAAATCCTCGCGTTATTCCTTATAAACCGGGAAGAAACGCGTGCAGCGATGAATAATAATAATGATGATGATGATGAGCCTCTTCGTCTCGAGCTGCTTTCGAGAGTATCGTTCCTTATTTCCTTTTACGGCCAAGTACGGTGACGATTGTCATTGGCTACGCTGTTTTGTACACAAATGTGATTGGACGAAAAAACCGCGTGCATCAATTTCCAGTCACGAGAATAAAGAAGTTAGAATTATACGGCTGTGGATGTATTTCACACATTTCGATTATTATATTAGTCAATAATACCTGAATAAAAATTAATGATTTGTGCATGGATTTTTGTTAGACTTCAATTCAAAATTGTTAAAAAATTGTCGAATGTAATTTCTGTGCACCTCTTATTTATTTTTAATTATAACATATATTCAGATACAAATATATGTAAATATTGATCCTTTTGTTATATTTTATGTAAGTAAATAAAACATCTGACATAAATAATTTTTTATATATAGCATATGAAAAATGAATTCTGGAATTATACCAGTTTCAATCCTCACATCAAATATATCATAATTATTATTACATCCGTGACAGTATTTATATACTACTTTATACAATATGAAACTATTTTTTCCATAATAATAAAACTGAAAATTAAAATGTAAGGAAAATACATTCCTGTACTCATATTCTAGTTTTTAGTTTTAAAATATTAGAAGTATGTCATGTTTCATACATATATACAATTTATTATTATGAAGAAAATTGTGATGGAATATAAAAAAAGAGCTAGACAATATGTGTATTAATTATTTCATTTTTCTTTGTTTTAACAGATGATTTTTTAGAGCTATCTGTTTCTCTCTAAAAGATCGTTTTACTTTCCCTTTTAATTTATGTTTCAGCATTAAGAATGCTTTTCCTTTTTTTTCTCGCGATTTGTTCTACTGCACATTGCATTTTGTCGTCGATCTTTAAAACCAAACTTATCTCTTTGTTCTTGCCCCTTCTACAAATTTAGTAATATTTAAATTAGTCTATTTTTATATACATAATGTTATATAATATTTTATACATACTTTCACAGATTTCTGCCGAGCAGCCTTGTCATGCTTGCGTTTTTTATATATATTTTCAATATCACTCAGTTTTACCAATTCTCCATCTTGATTGGTCTCAATTTGATCGTGTGTCCTTTTAGAGCCGCGTTTAGCATATGTTACTTCTTGCTTTGCTAATGCGATATCAATTTTTCTAAAATCTTTATCTGTGAGCAATCGATCAGTAGAAATCAAAGACGCTTTCGTTTTCCTTTCGGCTGTTAATTCTTCATTTCGTTCTGACTTGTGTTTTTCCTTCATTTCTAATTTCTGTGCCTTCTTCAATTGTTTCTTTAAATTAATTTTCTTTTGTGGAACTTCGTCCATTTCTCGTTCCTTGCTATTTGTTTCACAGATATTCTTTGTACTGTTGTTCTCGCTACAGGATGAATTCTTATCATCGTCATTTTCGTCAATGGAAGATTTTACTGTTTCATTTATATCCTTTGCTGTCGACTCATCGTCGCTGATTTCTTCCTCACTTTGGCTTATATCAATCCATTCGTCATCATCCTATATTTAAATATATAAACAAATTTTTGTACAACTAGTAATCGTTATAATATATTAAATATTGTGACGTTTTTATACTTACTTCTGTATCACTATCAGTTTCTTCAGTGTCACTCTCAGTATGTTGATCAGACAAAACTTCTGCTCCTGCTATGAACTCACTTGCCTGAATTTGGCCATATTTTGAAGATTTTATCATAACATTGGCTTCTGTAGGACGGCCTCTATCTTTTTTACGCAATAAATCAGGCATTATACGTCTGAATATTCCAATTAAAGAACGTGCTGCCATCATAACGGAACGTTCCTTATACTGTTTGTATCGTACCAAATCTTCAAGTAGAGCCTCATTCATGGCCAATGGACATCGTGTACATATTTCGCGCACAGTGTTTAAGCTGCATGAATACATATTGTATATAAATAGAGCTGCATATATGGATACATCGCGCGAGGATGTTTTATAATAAACACAATTAAACATATATCTACCCTATAGCCATCACGTCCGCAGAATTTCGTTCTGTTATAAAATTATTCACTAAAGTTTGTAAAACAGGTTCCAACACATCAGGTGGTACCAATTCATGGGAAGCTTGTGCTATAAACTGTAAGAGTTTGGTCACCTCTGAAAAAAGAAAAAACAAATATATATATATAAATGTGGATGTTTTTCCATTTGGAACAAGGAAAAATACTCATAAAAATAGTAATGATTTGTACAGTAATTAATAGTGTCATTGTACTTACAATTAGATAACATTTAGACAATACTCATATAATTGTTCAATGATGTATTACATTATAAATCTTACCTCGTTGATGAGGTTGAAGAAATCTTTGTATATATGGATAAAAATTCAAGAGAAATAAATTATGCAAGCCAATGAGTCTAGAGATAACGTCTAAAGTCATAAGCTTAACTTCAAATCTGTCATTTTTCTTTTCTATCTGCTTGAACAACTTTTCAGCAAAATCCTGAGGATCGTGAATTAAATGTAATGCCGAAAAATTATATTGAGGTGCCTTAGATTTCTTCTTTTTTGCTTTCTGAAATACAAATTAAAGTTGAAAATAATATATTTTGGTTTAAATATTGTAATATATTCCATTATAAAAATGTAACTTACTACATATAATTGTTTAGCTTTCTGTAACTGCTTCTGTCGTTTTTTTGTTTTTTTATTTACTTTATTAGCCATCATAATTTCCTTCATATTTGGCTCATCATCTGAATCACTATCATCACTACCTTTCTCTTCTGGATCAGTTCCCAAAAAAAATTTCAAACTAGCAACTGCTACTTTTGTTATTTTAGAAAAGCAACCTGTTGCTATAACATTAACAGTCTTGATGTCATTCCAAACATTTTTGTTATATAATTCTATCATAATGTCTACAGACATTTTCACAGCTTTGGCATTAGGATCTTTTAACATTGAAAACATAAAATTTTGTAACGCTGTGTTAACTTTAGCATTTTTATGTTTTGCATTGACATTTTTCACATCTGTGACTATATGCATTTTGAGAAATTGTCTTAAAGCTTTGTCTTGACATTTTAAGAGTTCAAAAAATAAACTGAGTAGTGCAGTGGGTTCTAAAAGTGATTTGTTGCGTAGCTGAATCAACGCTTTACAAAATGTCTAAAAAATATAATTACAATTCAGTAAACAATCCAATTTACTTGCATAATATAATTTTATAATATATGTAATGCTTACCATACGCATTTCATTGTCTAATATGATATTATGAGTTTGTAATATATCAACAATTTCTTGAGGATATGTTTTTAGATCGTCTGGATAACAATGGGCTACCTGCAATGACACGAAAAAAAATCGATACAACAAGTGTGTTTAGCAAATGAATAATTTATTGAAAAATTTCTTAAAATCGTAAAAAAATAGTTATGCAATAAAAATATATAAGTTGTTATACAATATATCTTGTTATAAATATATTATGCTTATATATACAATTAATAACTGTATCATTAATGAATATAAATATTATAAAGAATTTTTTTATGAATATGATATATATATATGTTTTCAAAACTCTCTTTCTCTTCGCTTCTTTTTCTCTCTCTTTAGTAAGATTGAATTATCTCACTAATTTATATACAAAATATTCCTCATACTAAATTTATTTTATGCATTACAAATTATGTGTGCTTAATGATAATAAATTGATAATAAATGAAAATCAAATCTTATTTCAAATATAAAAATATGTAAGTTTTACATTACTTAAAAAGTCTATGATGAAAGCATTAGATAAAGCTGTTAGAAGCAAACATATATAAAAACTATAACTAAAAATGAATCATATATTCAGGTGTATTCAATTTATATGTTAAAGCTAGTGAAATTTTTTATATCAAAGCCAACCGTTTTAGCTAAAACTGTAACAAAGTCGTGGCTTGCGCAGCACTTAAATTTTGGTTCGTCTAACTGCAAGACATTATCTCCAACGACAGACAGTAAACCTAGTTGACACATGGTAGATATTTGAGCGAGTAAATTAGCATTGATGTCTATTCTTTCATCAAGAATAGCGCAAAAGATCGCAAGCATCCTCGAGATAGTAAAAACCCGAGATTTCTTTTGCGAATCTATGTCTCTTGCTTTCTTAACTGATCGTACTTTTTTCTTTCTCTTACTACATTGTTTCATAAAAATATCTTTATCATATTTTGAAGGAATGTACGAAGCTAAATATGATGCGATTAACATATATTTCGCGTAAAACGGTAATTCGAAACTTAAAGCTAATTTTGTCGTCGATTCAATTTCCCGAGATATTTGTTGATCGGGTTGCAAGAAATCATTCGTGGAAACTCTAAGATAAATTATTTCTAAATTAGATTTCAAAGTAGCAGAGATATTACGCCACAGTGCAGCAACATTATTTGGTTCAATTTGCTTACTTTCTATAGGTTCTATATACTTGGTAAAATTTATCTTGGCCATGTATCGAAGTTCGTTCAAATCTCTACAAAACCGAAAGAATACAGAAAGAAAGAGATTCAAATAATTCTTATAAAAGTCCTCGTCGTATTTTTTTTCGCTGGTTTGTCTAGTAATAATAATCGTACTAATTCGTCCTTCGTGTATTGTGGAACGTATATCTTTATAGGCTTCAACATACCTATCTTAGTATTAAAATTATCCCACGCAATCTCACTTATAAAAATCGTACATATATTAATGCAGGACAATTCCCTAAGTCTTAAGATCGCTGGTAGGAAAGTTACATCAAAATGTCTAATTCTATGACATTTGTCAAATACTAATACAATTGGACGTGTATCTCTGTGAGAAATTTTTTTAAGTGCAAGTATAAAATCCATGAAATTGTCACAGTTGCATTTTAACGGCATATCGGCACTAGATTCTTTTACAGATGCAGTTAAATCGCTTAATATGTAGTTATATATATGTTTGCTGCCTAAATGCTCCATACAATTAATATAGCTAACATTATACTTTAAATAATCGAGTAGATTTCGTACAATCAATGACTTTCCAGTAGCCATATGGCCATACACAAATATACTTTCCGGCATTGGCTCATTTGCTGCACCAATTAAAGAATACAGTCGCGCTATAATTTTTTCTCGACATATAATACTATTTTTTATCGTTTCCAAATACTTTTCCATTTTTATTACACTCTAAAATTGCGTGCAAAATAATATAGAAACAAAATCAATTTTTATCGCCTACACTGTCTCACACTCTTCCAAGAAATACTGGAGCTTTGACAAATTGTTAGTGCTTCTATCAATATGTTATTTATTCTTTAAAATGATATGTTGTTAGAATTTTAGCGTGTGCTAACCTGAGCCAAGAAAGTTACCAATTCATCAAGATTTTTGTTAAATTGTGTGGGTTCCAAACGGAAGACTTCTACAGTAGATTTATAATGCAGATATTGTTGAAGAAACTGTGAACAAACATATTATATTTTTACACATTAAAATAATTTTTTTAAATACCTGTAAAAGATATGTAAAATACAAAGAGATAGCTTATAAATTATATTGTAGAAAATTATTGTATTTCACAATTGCATGTGTTATAAAATAGGATATACAATCAACATCAATAATAATACTATATAATATGGCACTTAATACACTGATAAAGATGAATTGAAAATTTACCTCTTCTTTATAAGACTCTGGATCACGTTTGATAAGATTCTGTAGTTGCGGAAGATTATCCGGTAATTGATTGTTATGTCTTACCATCTTTAAAGCCTATAATAAGCAATGATTATTACAATGCAATGTGCAATATGATAGTAAAATGACGATAGAGAAACATAAATATAATTATCATTGTATGTACTTACATAATTTTATATAAACGATTTAATATAGATTAATAGATCTTTATTTAAATTGTTCTTAAAAATTTACACTATTCTCTCATTAGTCCGTTTCGTATAAATTCATCAAGCATGCGTTCGCTTTCACGTGCAGGGTATGTATAATTAAAATGGCGCCGGGTGATGAAGAATTATGTACGTTCTGTTTGACGACGCGAAAGTGTCGAATCTGTTGATTGACCAATCGGATCGATGGACAAAAATCTCTTTGCTCCGATTGGTCAATCGAAACGTCACTCTATCGAACTCGCGAAAATGGCGGAGCAGAAAACGCAATGTGAGATATGTCACTTTATAATAACAATAGTTGATGAGTAAGTTGAGAAACACGCTCGAAGAACATTTCAATTTTGCAATAATTTCAATCAGATTTTAGTGATCTTATCACGAATATAATCATACATTTGCTTATATATTTATAATTTCTATATTATGTTATTATGTTTATTATGTTTATATTAGTTTTTCTAACTCAATGAAATCTACGCAGTATTCAACGTATATTGTTAACCCAACTTTGAAGTTTTTCAATCAGAAGTGTATTTCGTTACATAAAAGTTTGAGTTTTCCATTAAGTATACTTTGTTGAGTGAAAAAGCGTATAAGATACAAGTTTCAACAGACAACCAGAGTTGTTTTGCAATATTATACAGAGATATACAAATGTTACCAGGCTTCGAAATTTTAGGTTAAGTATCAATTATAAGTTTTAATTATACATTTTGTCATCTCTTGGTTATAACAAAGATAATTTCTTAGTTGCTTAAAATTGTACACAAATTAAATATTTAATTATTTAACTTATTCCATTTAGACGTTGATAAAAATACACTCTTTTGAGTATTTCGTGTTTTTGTAGTGTGTTGAGTGATCGTTTTTACCTTTCAAAATTTTTACTTTTGTATTTACGCAAGGAATAAGTGTTTTTATTATAATCTAAGTGAAGCTTCCAGTTAAATTGAATACATCTCAAGGATTATTCTAATAATTTCATTTATAGAAGGAAGCTGTCAGTACGACGATTTGTTTCAATCATGGAGAAGCGAATTAGATATGTCTATGACAACAGAAGAAGAAGAAAAAATTATAATCCCAGATTATAAGTTTGAAAATAAAACAGATAAGGATGTATTGGACTTAAATTTTAAAGAATTTGATTTCAATTTTCTACAAAACAGTCCAGGTATGTGTTAAAATATATAATCTATAAAAATGAGATATAAGAGAAAAGTTTATTCTTCACTGTTTGAAATTTATAGAAGTAGAAGAAACAAATGAGATAAAAAATGATATTAAATTTGAACCTGAAAGTCCAGATGCACAATTTTCACTATCACCCAGCCTAAATCACTCAGACTCTAATGATTCAGATAAACAAGCGACAAGATATTTGATGCAAGAAGTATCAAATTGTTCAACACAAAATGTGAACACAGAGGTATTTTATATATAAAAAGTATATAGAATGTGATATAAAAGTATATTTTTAATAACTAATTTATAATTCAATCTTTTCTTTAGGTTTCTTTAGAAGCACCACTAATTTCTTGTGTAAAATATACATCTTCATCAGAATCATCTCAATCACCTCTAAATATATCAAATGAAATACCAGTTGAACTTACATCTGTTAACGAGGAAGATGCAAAACATGCACAATTTATTTATACAAAAAGAGATTTTACAAAACATCTTAATATACAATCTTTGCCAGTAGATGTTGCACAACATGTAAAAAATGGTAAAAATATATTACTTTTATATACAAATAGAAAAAATACTTTACTTTTAACAAATTTTATATTAAATTTCTATGCTACTATTTGTTATCTTTACTGTTTTCAAATTAAATATATTATATGATATATTATATATATAATCAGAAAATTATTTTGTTCTGTGCTTATGTATGTGTTTGTTCAAGTATATGTATATATAATTTTTTTAAATATCTAATTTTTAAGGTAAATATTTAATTCTAGGTAAATCTCAGGATACTTTTATCCTTCAAGATTTTACACAGAATGCAAATTCACAATATATATTGTGTCCTTCAGAACTTCAGATGTTATCAACAAAGAGACATGTTAAAGTACAAAATTCATTGAATATAAATCCAACTAATATAAGAACAAAGACTCCAGCGCTTCATTTACCACAAAATGGAACTAACACTGTATCAAATATTTGTCCAGCAAGTGCTACTGACTCAGTAGAAAATTTGATAAATTGCACACAATTTCAAATAATGCAGGATGAAACATTTTCATTAATTGCAAAGAATCAAGATTTAAATTCAACGAGAGACGACCAAAAATTAAAGGCACTAAAAAGACAACAAAGAATGATAAGAAATAGGGAGTCTGCTAGTCTCTCAAGGAAAAAGAAAAAAGAATATGTATCTGCTTTAGAGAAACGAGTGGACGACTTGATGGAAGAAAATATACAATTACAATCAGTAAATAATCCATATTTTAAATTTATGCATTAGATTTACAAATTTCTAATAAGTTGTTTTTCAATATTATTAATTTTTTATATAATTTTCCCATTTAGGAAAACAAGATTTTAAAGCAAAGATTAATGGAAATGGAAGACAGTATTATAGATAATAATAAATTTAAACATAAACATTTAAGTTTACCTACATTAAGTATTAAACCTTTCTTAAGGAAGAAAGGACAGAGGAACCTCGTTCTCTTTTTAGGAATGATTTTCATAATATCTTTCAATGTTAATGGTCTTAAGTAAGTATATTTTTCCATTTATGCCTTAATATTTGTTTTGGAAAGAATACATTTTTATATAAAGTGTTTTGTGTTATTTATATATAAAATACAAAAATTATTAAATTTTTTTATGATATTGTCAGAGCAAAAATTTAATCCTAAGTATCAATTTTTGGGATGTAAAGAAATACAAAAAGAAAAGCTTTTTTATTATAAAAATAATGTGTTGTTTATAATTGTTAATAAAAATGAGTCATTAAATATTTCCATTTATCAAATAAATTGGTTCTGATTTCCAAATTAAGCATATTGTATACAATTTCTCAGTCATAATATTGTTTGGACTGATTTAATAACTTGATAATTATCTTATCATAATGAGAGAATGAATAAAACGAGACAACAATATTTTACGAAGACGATTATTTTTGTTTTCGATATTACAGATAAGAGTTTCAGATTTGAAAAATAAAGGCGATAATTCGCAATTTTGTAACTTAAAAATTGTTTTATAATCAGGAAATTATTACAGTATATATAGTATGCCACAAATATAAATATAATGTTTCTTTTTATTTCTGTTTAAGGGGAACACTTTTAAGCGTCAAAAGTGATTCTGACAGTTTACCAATAGCTATTCCCGATACGGAAATCAGACATGGCAGAAGATTATTCTGGACAGTGAATGAAAATGATAACAATATGGAGAATCAAATTGAAAAAGATTTTAATAAAAGTGTACCGACACATCAATTAATGTGTCCAATGTATATTAATCAGAGCGAATTGATACGTTTAGATAATGAATTGAGACGTTGGATTGGTGGTGAATCCGATCGAGATAATCGAACTGCAAAAGAAACGAAATTAAAAACAAATTCATTAAACGCACTCTTGTCATCAAAATCACAATTAGAAGAAAAAACAAAAAGAAAACCGTACTTATCGCGAGATAGAAAAATAAAAACTGTACACAAAATGATTGATATATCTGATCGATATTCTAATAATAATGCGATTGAGATCTTCTCTCCGATATTGAGCAAACACGCTTCTCTATTTGAAGCTTTGGGAAGAAAAGATGATACATTTTACGTCGTCTGGTTTAGTGGCGAACATTTACTATTGCCAGCTTCTCGAAAAAATGATACAGCGAGACCTAAAATGTCTTTAGTTCTACCTGCTGTATCTATGGTAGATGGTAAATAATATTGATATGATATAAAAATATAATTATATACTTGAATATTAGAGTAATATTAATTCAACGCATGGATATAATAATTTATAATATGAAGAAATTTATTTATATTTGATGTAGCAGATAACTAGATAAACTATATGTAATTACAATATTTTTCTTTTTTTAGGTACGTTTTCAACGCCATCTAATCATATAACAATGATGCAAATTGATTGTGAAGTGACAAATACACAAGTATTACATTTACAACAATCCATCATACCTGTTCACTTGCGAAATAAGTCTACAAGTCAATCAAATCGATCTCACTCGGTTGAGGACATGGTTTATCAATCTAATATCACCAGAAATTACAAACCATACTTTATGAAAGAAGCAAATCAAAAATTTCGAAACAGAAAACACTTGGTTTAATATAATTATAGATGAATATTATATAGTAGTGCAATTATATAGAATTAAAATAAGAATTTAATAAATTTAAGATTTTTTGTAACAAAAATGTCATTTATATATATATATAAAAATATGTTTTTCTAGTCTGGCAATATGGAAAAAATATGAAAAATATGAATTATATACAATATAATATTTGTTTATGTAATAATATAATTGTTGCACATTGTATGAATACTATATATAATCACAGAAATATATATATATATATATATCCTGATTAATTTTTTTTCAATATCACTCGTATTTTAGCATAAATCTGTATATTATATATATTATATTCTTATCAAAATAATATGACATAAGATATAGTAGTACTAATTTTTAAAAAATATACATGTAGTGTGTCTACACACATATATATATATATATATATATATATATATATATATATTAATACATATTTTTCATTATATAAATACAAATAATGCACTTAAAGTCACTTTAAGTTAGGCGTAGAACTCCCCAAGTAATATCGTAAGTCTGTCAATGTTGATTCAATTATTTTGGCTTTAATAGACGTTTTACCTAATCGTTGATGAGCAGTATAACGATGACAACCACCAAAAGAATAATAATAATCACCACCTAAACAAAACAACAATATAAAATTCATCATTAATTTTTTTGTTCTATGAGAATATTATTTTTACAGATTTGACAAGTTTACCTTTGGATCCTTTAATCCAGAGAACATCGATGGGTGGTACCGTGTGCTCAGTTTCAGTATTTTTCAATGCATTCATTAAACTTTGAACTTTTTCCTCATTTAGTACAGGAGGAATAGGTCTGATAATTATATTCATTGGCATATCATATACTTCAGCACACCAGCTCGAATGAATCGAGCTGGTTATTTGACATTGACATGCTTTACGTAACATTTTGCATATATATCAATTAACTTGACTAATTCTGCAATAATTCTAAATAAATCTTATCCGTCAATTAGCTGAAATATTTTATAAAACTGCGTTATCTGTATATTCGAAGAAGCTGTCACATTGACACTGATTAATACGTGTTGAGCAATGACCAGCAACTTTCGTTATTACATCACATGATTACAATTCCATAGAATGCTACAAATGATTTAAATCACATTATTATTAACAATGGAAACAAATTTATTGTTCTTTTTTTATTCTCTTTTATACAAATCGTTTATTTCCAAATAAAAAATAATCAAAATAAAAAAAAAAGCATAGATTTCTTGATCAATTAAAAATGATGAAACAAATTGATAGTATTTTGTAATGTCAAATGGAATGCACTCAGAATATGCAAATTTATTTGTCAATATTATTTTCATTTTTCAAAACCACATTATTGTGTATGATAAAAATGTGTTTAAACTGCAATTAAAACTATGAATCTAAAAAAACAATTATTATTACACATTAAATATTTCTTTCATCATTATCTTAATTTTGCCACAGAAATTGTAATTATCACTAACGAGATTATTAAAGACCGATCAGATGATTTTATGCCGATTTGTGTACAGAAATTTGCACACGTGTGTGTAATGAATTGAGGTTAAAAACTGTAACTAATTATTCTTTTTTACATACGAAATAGGGCACATTAATTAGATCGGAGGAGTTAATAAACGCATAAAGAATTGTGCAAAGAAAATAAGAGATAATAAAAAAAAATAAATAGAACGACAAAATAAAAAAAAATTAGAACCAAACTGAACAAAACTTCAAGGGGCAGGCGCCAAAAATAAAAATCTAAAAATACAAGGAAATCTCTACAAAGAAAGAAAAACTGGAGATAAATGGAAAAAATTGATAATTAAAACAAATCAATTTAAATAAAAATAAAATAAACAAAAAAAATGATTAAAGTTAAATAATCTTTCATAGCAAATAGTTTTTTTTTGTATTTTTAAATATTGCATATTGTTTGCATAGCTTTAGTACTGCTTTAATACATTTAAATAAGTATAGCAAAATTTATTAAAATAAATAGACATATATATTTCAAATATATATATTTTATAGAACAAGTATAAAATTTTTATTATTTTATGTATACACATATATTTTCTTTTAAATATGTATAAAATTTATTTATTTAATTTGATTAGCTTAAATTACTATTATTTTATTAATTTGTTATTATATTCTTAAATAAATTATTATATTAGATAATATATTATTCTTATATGCGGTCAAATACACATTTAAAATATTATAGTTTAAAAATACTTTATCTTCCTTTAACATTTAGTTATCTGTTGAACTTTTGTAATTTTGAGAATAGAACATAATTATAAAAGTAAAAAACAATTGTTAGAAATTATAAATAAACACAGAATTTAAAGAGGATTTAAATATAATTTGTAATTGTCGAAATATGTATATATGTATATATATAATACATAACACTGAATTATACAACTTTACATCTAGTTGTTAAGATAGAGAAATATATATATTCCAGTTTTATTATGTGTTATATATTATATAATTAATTACTGAATCAACATAATCAGTTATTAAACAATTCATCATCAACATTTTTGAAGAATATATTTAGTATTAAGCATATTGTATAAAAGGTTAAAAAATAATAGGTATTATAATATATTATAATAGATAATAGATATACAATGTATGAATCTAAAAAATAAATACTGCAATTGATAAATAATTACTGTAAATAATAACAGTAATAACATAAATATAGAATTTTTATTTAATTTTTTACATTGCTTCCATTTAAAAAATTGCATCAATTTTTGTATCATATAGATATAATGTTAATGATGCAAAGTTAAACTTATAAATGCAAGATTTTGCTTTCCATTTTGTGTTCAGTTTTTATCGATTTTATGCAAGTCAGGAAGCATATATAACAGCAACTCAGTATATATATGAAGCAGTTAAAAATTATATTATTTACAAGAGAATTATTTTGTGGCATACAAATAAATATTTATCGATCTATATCAATTTTCTAATAGATACCTGAAAGGTAGGTAAAATGGTATCTTATACAATATCAGAGTACATATTTTACACTTGTATTGGCATATAAGTTACAATATTTATAAAAGGTATAACATGTGTGCAAGAGAGTTAGCATCTATAAATGAATATATGTTAAATTTATACGTGTGTATGGAAAAAATTAAAAATTTGCTAAATCATGAAAAAATTTGTATCATGATATACACACAAATTTACCTATTTTACAATAGTACAATTACAAATGTATCTACATATCTAAATATATTTCACGATAGTCGAAGTAGAAGAACTCGCGTGCAATAAATAACAAATTTATTCTATAAATTACACAACTAATCCTCATCTGTACCTTTCTGATACACTGCTCCAAACTTGCTCATATACTTACGTACAAAGTCTTTTGCTTTATGTTTAACATTTTCATTACATTGTAATTCTTCTACGCTTTTACAATGCTTTAATTCCTTTGCAAGTACAAAATGTGTTAACTGTAACAGAATGTACAATAATAAGTAAATTATGATAATATTTATTATGATAGTAAGCAAAAATTCTCAATATACCTTTCTAGCTAGATGTTTAAAATCTTCAGTATTAGTTATTCTACCTTGTTTACATTCAGTTTTCCTATATGGATTTAAAAAGTGAACCATCACATTAGCCATATTTGTTCTGAATGCTTCCTTGATTTTTCTTTCAGTTTTCGTAGAATGCATTTCAGCTGATGTTGATTGTTGCAACTTGTTTAATCCATGTCGCGAATGAGATTTCGATTTATTACTTCGTCTATGTTTCTTTAGTTTCTCAACATCTTTTAGTTTGGCTCTTTCTTTCTGTCGTCGCAATTTCTCTTTTATTTCTTTATATGCTTTATGATCAACCCGATCTTCTTCCCTACGTGGCTATAATGTAAATAGATTGATTAAAATTCTATAGCTGTATATATTAAAAGTTTTAGACTCATATTAATATTAACAAGTTTAATAATACATCGTGACATACAAAATGACAGTTCTTTCTTTCATTTAAGTAACTCCTTTTGTAATTTAAAAAAAATTTTTAATTTTTTAAGATATTAACATAAAATAAATACAGAAAATTAAATTTACTTACACTAATAATTCTTTCTTGGACTAAACCATCCCTTCTCTTTTTAGACTCCGGCAACGGCAGTGAACTTCCGATCAATTGACCACTTAATTTTTTAGATACATTTGGCCTAGATAAAGGACTTTCTGTTAAAGAGCTACTTGCCTCCATATCATCATTTTTTTGATCCTCATTATGATCATCATCGATATCTTCGTCATCCTCATTCGATGAACTAGATTCTTCGCTAGATTCCGAAGTAGATGACGAGTCTGGTTGTACTCCGATATGATCGGGTGGTGGAGGTAACCACTGCGATACTCTTTCCTTTACATGGTAATAATATGTTCTACCTCTGTTATCTGTCGCACTCTTCCATTTCGGTGGCAAATCTATCGGTGAAATTTCAGGTTGTGCCGGTCGATTCGTGCTGACGCTTTCCCCAGATGTATGATTAGAAAATTGTTCATCTGCGAGTTTTTCGTGATTATAAAGAGGCGTCTGAATTGATATAGGAGGAGTTCCGCCATGAACAGACACTAAATTATTTGGAAGAGATAGTTGCCCTTCGGAATATGGTTGCGGATGCGATATCAAAGAATAGGAAGATGTTGTTTGACTGAACACAGGCGTCTGACTTAACGAGTAAGCTACTGGTGGAATACCAGTCGTAATTCCGGACGATATATCGGTTGTCATTGTTGATGATAGTACATGAGGACTCTGGCTTATTATACCGGTAGATTGAGGTCCTCCTACGTATACAGGAGTACATTGTTGCGTTGCTTCTCCCCCATCTATAAAAAGAATTTCACATTTTTTTCTATTAAATATTTTTAAAATATAAAAATGTATGCATTTTTTATTACACAAATTATTTAAAAAATGCATGAAGTATAATAATAAATATTACCTTGAGGGGGATAATGTTGCCATTGGCTTAATGTTGGATTATAAAAAACAGGATAACCAGTTTGAGGATCAACCATGGCAGTGGTATGAGGATCTATACCCAATGCTAAACATCTATTCTCATGCTCTTGCCATGATTCTTGCTGTTGACGACGTTGTCTTTCCTCTTCTTCTTTCGCGACTTTTAATGCAAATAATTGTCTACGCTCGTACTTCGTCATTCGTGGTATAGGAACTAGACTACGTTCTTCTAATCTTTTATCTTTTGTCCTACTATGCTCAGTTTCTGGAGATTCTCGTCCTCGTCTTCTGTCACCACGTTTGTCAACTTCACTTCGATTATATCTATCAGATCTATGCCTATAAGAGTTTATGAAATCAATTAATATTTTTTAAACTTAATCAGTATATAAATTTATTCAGTATTATACATTGTATATATTGAGTATCACAAAGAAGTGTGCATATAATTACAATGATACACATTAATAAACATACAAACACGTACCTATCGTACGATGTGCCTCTCTTTTCTTCTTTCTCCAATTCTTCTCTATATCCTCGATCTGTAACAAAAATTAATATTAAATAGATGTTAATAAATCTTACTACTTTTGTTTTTTTTTTATGTTATAAATACATTATAGAAAATACCTGCTTCTCTTTCATGTTCTTTCATTTGTTCAATCCTTTCTTTTTTCGGTATTCTAAAAACTTCTTTTAGATTGGACCATTCAGCAAGAAGACTAGAAGCCAAATCAGGTATAAGATTCTGATCTGTATTTTCTGATTTAATTTCGCTAACTGCCAAGCAATTTTCAATATTATTATTTCGTTTATCTGGAATGTCATTCAAACGTTCATCAAGAGTTTTCTTTTCATTGCTATTAGAATTTTCTTCACAGGTCGTCTTTGATTTAACTTGATCATCTTCTGGTGAATCAGCATTTGGAGAAAGATATAATCTTTTCGCCCATCTTTCAACTACACCATATATTTTACTATCCATTAACATTGTCTTGTTTGGTATTGGCAGTGTATTTAGAGTTTTTAGCACTTCTAAACGAAATTGTTGAGCTTCTTCTGATTCATTTGCAGCAATATCCATAACATAACTCCAAATTAAACGTAATCCATGATAATCCAAAAATAATCTTCGACAGGGTTGTTCGCCGCTCTGTATGAGACGCAACAAGCGTGTTCTATGTTTTAATTCTCTACTACGAACCATTAATCTGCTTAATGTTAATGTGTGTGCACGGTTTTTCAAACCACCCGAACACAACTTGTCCATTTCTTCCTCCAACTAAAATAAACGAAAAAAAGATAACATGAAAAAATACACTATTTAATCATGTATAATGTTTATTAATATTATTAATTGCAATACTTACATCTTCATCTTCCATATAATCAACAGGTTTCTTCTCTTCTTTCTTCTTCTTCGTATCTCTTTCGCGTTTCTCTTCAATCTTTTCAATCTTCTCCTTTTCTTCTTCAGGTGTATCGCCTATCCAGCCTCGACAATTTGGCGCTTCGCAATAACACTTTTGAGCTTCCTTGCTAATATTTAAATAAATAATTAAATAATTGTGTAAAAATAAAAACAAATATATATATATAATTTATACATATAAAAAGTTGATTTGTAATTATTGATATAACAATATATCATCAAAAAACGTACCCATAACGTTGAAAATGATAATCAAATGTAATTTCTTCA